CCGATTATTTTAATAAAATAATTTTTTTTCACTTTCCTAATTTTTGTAGAACAATTTGAGCAAAAAAAAAAAAAAATTAGTGAAAATTATTAATTATTTAGATTTAAAGAGTGGTAAAAGAAATTAAAGAGGTCACGTTTATTTTCGTTTTTTTTCCCCAGGATATTCTCATCTACAATATAAAATCCTAACATTCGTGTAAAAACTTTAAAAGTGAACTTGGGTTTGAAAACTTATAAGATTCAGTGAAACGAAAGAAAGAGGGGAATACGAATTCTTCGCTCGTTTTTTCTCCTTCTCCATTTTCTTTTAGAAGACTCTACACAACGAGAAAGATTTCAGAAAGCCATTGGATAGCTAAAAAAGAAAAGCATCTACCTCTATTTTCCAGCACTGATGTGCAACTGTTTTTTTTTATTTTTTTTTCCCTTCACTTTTTAGCATAACCCTTGAAATTTTATGAGAAAATTTACAATATTCTTTTGCAAAAATTTCCATCTTCCAGTTGTAGATTATTTAGTCATTATTTTCCTATAAAAAAAAAAATTTTGTGTCTGTTTTTTACAAAAATGTTGAATTTCAAAATTTTCAAAAATAATTAATTAATAATTAATTTTATTTAAAAAAATTTTTTTGTTTTAAATATATTTAAGATTAAACGTTTCTATTATTCTTTTTTGTATAAAGAGCTCATTTTTATGCAAAACATAGCATTTTCGTTGTATTTTACATGTAATATTCAATTTACCGAGGGAAAATTATTTTACACTACAAATGATTATTATGCATTTACTTTTTTTTTATGTGGAACGTGCGCAAAAAATGTATCGCTGTATTTTTTATTTGTTTTTGAGACACGAATTTCATTAATGCCGAGAAGAAAAAAATTAGTAATATTTTTTAATACTTATTTATTATTATTGTTATTATTATTCTTATTATTACTATTATTATTATACTATTATTATTATTATTATTACTATTATTATTATTATTATTATTATTATTACTACACGGAAAAAAATCTTTATCTGGATCAGCGATATGTTTCTCTAGAATAGGGAAAATTTTCGCTGTTTTAGCGAACATAACGCTGTTCCAGGTGAAGATTTTTTCCCTTGTATTATTTTTATTATCATTATTATTATATTGTAAATATTATTATTTATTGTATTTATTATTAGTTACTAATAGTAAAAAAAATTAATATTAAAATTATTTTAAAAATAATTAAAAAACATATTAAAAATAATACCAAAATAAATGATAAATAATAATTAATATTAGTATATTAATTAATTAATTTTTGATTAGATAAAAATTATAAAATCACTATTTCAAATTACCTACATATAATGAGAATATCATTTAAATAATTAAAATCAATTTAATCCATTATATAATTAATTTAAAGCTAATTATAAGAAAAAAAATTAAATTCAATTAAACTATTATCGCATGTTAATTAAATTTTAATCTATATATATATATATATATATATATATATGTAAGAAAAATTTCAATTTCAATTATACGATAAAATCAATAATATTTAATTTTAATTTCATTTAATTAATTTTATATTACCTTAAGAATATATATATATAATAATTACGATATTGGAATTTAGCTTCTTTATTTTGAGACTTTATAGATAAATTTATATTAATTTAATATACATATATGGATATTTTGATAGACCATGACCATGGGAAATTGTATGAAGATTTCTTCCGGTGATTCACGTGATATTAATATCCGTTGACCCCATATGCCGTTGCATGCAATACAGGAAAAGTGGAGTCGGTTAACTTTAAGGGTAGGTCAATTAAGGGGGTGTTACCGAGGGTTGCCTAAGTAATTTTGATGTTAAATAATGATACGTTAAAACCTCAAAACTTTCAAAATAACTGATTTTCCATATGGTGTTATATATTGATTCCTATCTACATGTATATATATTAAATTAAAATTTTAAATTAAAATTTTTTATATAATTAAATTTAATCAATTTTTAATATATATATATATAATATAATAATAATAATAATAATAATAATAATAATATAAATAAAAAATAATTTGCAAAATGACGTTTATTTTTGAAATACTTTTAGCAAATGAAAAGTAACTATTCAAAATGAAAGAAGTAAAAATAAAGCTATTAAAATAAGTAAAGAGAGAAAAAAGTAGAATAATTAGTTAATATGATAAGTGAATCCATATATCACACAGATATTTATTTCGGTATTTTAACATTTAATTAAGAGCAGAGGTCTTATAATTGTCCTTTTTTTTTTTTTTTTAAAAAAAGAGGTCGAAAGATTTTAAAGAATCAGTGGCTTACCACGCGCGCATAATTAACATGCACGTTCCACTGACAGAATGGCTTTTGAATTTTCGCTAATTACGTTCCAATGATAATTACTTTTTCAAGAGTTAAGAGAATGTACACGTTCTTTAAATTTCACAAATATATTCCTATTTTATCAATTATTATATCTAATCTATTAAAATAAATTCGCGATGCGATATTAAATTAATTAAATATAAATAATAAATTATTATTAAATTATATTATTTTTTTTGTTATAAAAAAATATACGGATTTCTATTTTCTTTTTTTTTAAAGTCATTTTACACTTTTGAAATTCAGTACGATCATCATTCGAATTGTCTTTCGTTGCCTGTCACGCATAACGTTTGCAGAATAATAAACATTATCTCATCACGAATACGAAATTATGTTGTAAACACATTTTACGGAATTCATGATGCTCAAGAAATTTATATGTTGAATAGTCTGGAATGTTCCATTATATATTATAATGAATTTGTTATACAAATTCTATTTTTTCGCAAAATTTATTTTCGTCCGAAAAAAACCATTTATTCGAAATTTAATTTTTCTGATTTTTTTTTATTTGTCCAAATTTCTAATTAATCGATTTTTTTATATTTGTCCAAGTTTCCATTTCATTCGAAATTTAATTTATCCGATTTTTTTTATTTGTACGTATTTCTATTTACCTGAAATTGAATTTGACCGAATTTTTATTTGTCCAAAATTTATTTTGTCCGAATTTCCATTTTATTTCCAAATTTAATTTGTCCGAATTTTCCACTTATCCGATTTTTTATTTTTGTATTTTTACTTACCCGAAATTTAATTTGTCCGAATTTTCATTTTATTCGAAATTTAATTTAATTGAATTACAATTTATCTAAAATTTAATTTCTCTGATTTTGTATTTGTCCGAATTTCTACTTAATCGATTTTTTATTTATTCTATTTACCATTGATACAAAATTTAATTTTTCCAATTTTTTATTTGACAGAATTTTTATTTATCCGAAATTTAATTTGACCGAATTGCCATTTATCCAAAATTTAATTTGACCGAATTTCCAATTTATACAAAATTTAATTTAACCAAATTTTCATTTATCCAAAATTTAATTTATCCGAATTTCCACTTATCCAATTATTTTATTTTGTCTGCATTTTTATTTATCCGAAATTTAATTTGACAGAATTTCCATTTATCCAAAATTTAATTTCCGAATTTCCACTTATCCAATTTATTATTTGTTCGTATTTCTATTTACCCAAAATTTAATTTCTCCTAATTACAATTTATCCAAAATTAAATTATTCTGATTTTTTATTTGTCCAAATTACCATTTATCTGAAATTCAAATTTTCTGATTTTTCATTTGTCCGAATTTCTACTTATCTTATTTTTTATTTAACAAAGTTTTCATTTTATTTGAAATCTAATTTGTCCGAATTTTCATTTATCCAAAATTAGAATTTACCCGAATTTCCATTTATTTGTAAATTATTATTCCCCTGTGGATAAATCCGTACACAAGTGAACGATAATAAAATATAAGCTTTTAATTCTTAGAAAGGAAAGAAAGAATAATAATGGTTAGACAATTTAATCAACTAGCAAAATTCCATTTGAAATGGAACGAGTTTAAGAATTTACGATGGAATGTCCTTTATAATCCAACTGTCAGTGGCATATTTCTTTGAATTAAATATATATATATATATATATATATATATATATAATGACCCACTTGTCGATTCTGATTTCTTAAAGAACCCGTATATAGGGGAGTTTGGGCTTCACCTTTCAGCCAAGCGAAACGATGAAGGAAGTAAAAATTCTAAAAGAAAAGTAGCCCTCACAGTTGAGGCGGGAAATATTATAAGGGGATGGGAGAGTATATACAATGCGAAGAAGGGGACATGAGAAAGCAGAAAAGGGGTTTTTGATAATTAAGAGAAGATAGATATTCCAAAAGAAAAGATTTACTTTCTTCTCTTTTTCCAAAGAAGCTTATATAATGAAAAGGGTTTTGATTAATAATTCTACTTTTTGCCCCACACACAGTAACAATGCCGCAACGGATCAAAAAGAAAATGAAACTTTACTTAAAATTTAGAAACAAAAATCGTCTTTTAATTTTCATATAACTTTCGATAAGACTTTTTGATCACCTATAAACGAAATTCCCATTAATTTCAACTGAGAATATTGGGTTCAAACTCTCTCTCTCTCGCTCTCTCTCTCTCTATTTCTATCGAATGAAATATTGGACAGAAGACTCTGATAATTTCTCGCTCAACTTTCTCAATATTTCCCCCCTGGAAATTGCGGAATTGAGACGAAACTATACGCGATATTTCGCGGTAAAACCTCATGAAATTCTTCATTGTTTTATTTGAGACAGGAGAATCGATACTTTATCGCTGTTCTAGAATTTTGCAACGCGACTTAAATAATCACATGTTTGACTTTGCAATTCTTTTTTTTTCAGTAATTTTTATATCAAATTTTTGGTAAATTTTGTCATTTTTGAATAAATATTAATAAAAATATACAAAAAAATTAATATTAATTAAGATTATTAATATTAATAATTAATGATATTAATATTGTGTTAATTTTTGTAATTAAGTACATTTGTACAATTTTATGTCATACCTTGAATATTTTTAAAGAACGTTCAATTATCCCACAAAAACTCCTTTTTTCCATGATTTTCCATTATTTACTAATTTTCCAAATATGTTGAACACACCTGAAAATATTAAATAAACATTAAAATATATTCTAAAACTCCTGCAAATCTAAAGGGAATATAATAAAATAAATATAATGTACAATAAATATAGTGCATGTGGTACAATAAATAAATATAAATTACTAGATTAAAAAAATAATAAATTACACATTCCTGAAAAAATAAAAAATTAACTCAATTAAAAAAGAAATATTATCGCTCACCACGTTGATTCATCTGAAAATAATGATTCATTAAACAAAACATTCACAAAACACTTAGAAAACATACACAAAATATTAAAATATAAAATACAACATAGTGACAGAAAAAAATGAAAGATTGAAATAAAGCAAATTTTCATTGGTACTCCAGTTACTTGTCTTTTACTTACATTTTCAACCCGATTTCCCTACCTGTTGCTATATTTAAAACGGAACAAAAATGCCTATTTTTCCCGAATTTCCTACCTACATTTATATTCTGAACGAAACTAATATCGCCCAGGTGCAAATTACCTAAACTAGGGTTAACGTCCCGGGACGCAACCGTCACCTGAGCGATCTTTTCTGAAAAGAAAAATTTTATTTAGTCCACAATTAAAAAATTATCTTCTAATTTTTAATTCCACATGCATTAACTTTTAACAATTAAATAAAAAATTTACTATGCAAAATTAAAAAATTGTTGATAAGATTAAATAAATTATTTAAATTTAATAAAATTTTACAAATTACTTTTTTCTAATAGAAAAGAAAATTACTTTGACTCAATAGGAAAAATTACAAAACATTAAAAATATTAAACATACAGTAAATAAATATCATACATATATAAATAATGAAAAGAAACATTGACAAAAATATTAATTTACGTAGTATTAAGGTAGTAAACCACAAAACATGTAATATTTTAGAATATGGAGAGTGTTAGAAATTTTAAGGGTATAAATTTCCGAAAATATCACACGTTTTTTTTTAGATTACCCCTAAAAAATACTACAAAATAATAAATATTGTCAATGGTGTCACCATGTTGTTAGAATTCCTTCCCTGTTTATTTTTTAATTTAAATATTTTATTTCGATCAATTTAAATATATCTACGTCTTTTAAAAAAGAAAAGATTAAAAAAAATTATAAATTAGCAATATATTTAAAAAAAAATTATTTTGCATCTAATTTAATTGAATTTACAAAAAAATTAGCTATTTTAAACAGGGAAGGGGTTAAATAAAAAACGACTCACCGATCGGCGAATCATCCCACGTCGGGACAATAACGTCATTGCCACTCTCGAGCGCTTCTGGGCCAGCTCCCGAGGATCCCTCTTTCTTGCTCGCACTTCTGCGCGAGGCCGGGAGCTCAAAAAAAAAAATCTTATAAAAAAAATAAGAAAAAATAAAAAAAATTTTATAAAAAAAAGATGTTGCAGGGGCCACTTTTCTTCTTCCACATCCTTCCTAGTCTCGTCAGATATTTGGAAAATTAGAATGAAGCTGAAAAAAAAACATTTATTAAAAAATTAAATTATACAATTATTTTCTCAAAACACTATGAGATGCTGAGTTATTATTTTTGAATCAATTAGATTTAAATTAATGTTAAATTAATTAATTAATTAATTAATTAAAAAAAAATCACCTATATGAGAGGATTTCTGCGTAGTGTCAGAGATACGACGACAGCATATCCTTTTTATAAAAGGACTTTCTTCTTATGTACCTGAAAAAAAAAATAATTTATGATTTTGTATTTGAAAAATAAAATATTGAAAATTCTCAATATTATCAATTATTTTTGAATACATTAATATTTATAAATATTAAAATAATTTTTTAATTTCTTTTTATTCCATTTATTGATATTCCAGAAAAATATTGTAAAAAAAACTCACCTATAGGGGTAAATTTCTGCGATGTGTAAAAAATACGATGTCAGCATATCTTCTCTTTCAATGGACAAATCTTTCCTCTACTGCACCAACTGCCTGAGAAAAAAATAATTCATTATATTATGTGTGTAAAATCAAATATTAAAAATCCTGAATATTAACAATTATTTTATTATTCTAATAATTATTATTATACTTTTAAATATTTCAATATTTATAAATGTTAATATTTAATATTGTACTAATTATCATTTACAAATATTGAAATAATTTTCATTATATATATTGACTATTAATATTTCTGCAAAATATTTAAAAATATTCCAAACTATTTTTTACTGGTATAAGGTAAAAGCACCAGTACCTGGACGCTATTGGAGGGGTCTCAAATTTATTTGTGTTTTGTACTAAGATAATTCAATATAATTGATAAAATGTTTGTATTTTTGTTTTATTTACCTTTAAAAAATACTAATTAGACAAAATTAATAATAAATGTTTTAATTCAATTAAAATCATGAAATAATGAAATTGCACATTTGCAGCAGAAGTTGGACATGGTATTTCGAAAACCGTAGTAATTGAACATGATAAGACCCAGTAGTTGGACATTTAATATTAATTTATTTATTGAGTTATTTTTTATTATTTAATAAATTAAATAATTTAACTAAAATATAATTAAACTAATTATATTAATTAAATTAATTAAACTGATTGAGTTAATTGAATTAAATCTTTGTCCAACTATTGGGTACAACATATAAAGCGGTAGGTTAACTTGGACAGTCAATTCAGACAGAATTGGACAGCGATTTTAGAGAAATTGTTTTTTATATTTTTTTTACTCGTACAATTAATAATTTTTTTTTTGCCTAAAAGCTAATTATCTAAAGAGTATCTCAAATTTTTTTTACTTAATTTGAGGTCTATTTTAATTTCTTTTTGCTACTGTTCATCTACTGGTTCCAATTTTTGCTTTGTCCAGGTACTGGTGCTTTTACCTTACTGGAACTTATTTATAAATTTTCAGGTATATTTTTAATACTAATATTATTATTTCCAAATATTTAAAGAAAGTATATCTTAAAATATACATATATTAAGGGAAAAAATTTATGATCAACTTACATTGAACTGCGACTCAGCAATACAAGATCTCCTCCAGGAGCAGCTCCGCAACAAACACCCATCCTTCATGATTGGACACCTGTAAATTGAAAGAAAAAAATTATTTTACAAATAAACCTAAAATAAGATTTCTCAAGATAAAATTAACTTTATTATTTCTTAAATTGATTTTATAAAAATTAAACATTTTCTTAATGTCAGGTTTTTTGTAAATTTTAATTAATTTACATGATTTGTGTTATTAATTGAGAATAACTTTTATATGTAATAAGTAAAGTATTTTAATAAGTAATGTAATTATTTTCTGTATCAAAAGAGACTCACTTATTTCAAGAATTAGCAGATGTTGTTTTTTGTCATTTCATCTGTGGATAAAAATTATATCCAATTCCTCTCCATGTTTGAATTCTGTAAAAAAATAATAAACAAAAATTGTCTAAATAAAAATCTAGAAAACTTTATTTTTAAAAATAGTTATTAAATAATTTTGTTAAATTTGAAAAAAGTTTTAATTATTACATATATGTATAAATATAAAATTAAAACAATAAAATAACTTATTTATCATATTTACAAATATAAAATTATAAAGAATTTTCATAAATTGTATAATGGATAAAACTTCTATTAAAATGTAAAATAAAATTTTCAGAGAAAAAAATGTTTATTATTTAAAAATTATATAAAATCTTTTTTTTCTAAACAAATATTTACCTTTTACTTGAGAAAAACTGATGCCAAAGGGGTCGAAAGGATTAACATTGGTTCAAAATTCACTTCAACATATTTTTTTTTCCTTTTTTTAGATGAGTTTATTCCATTTTTTAGCCCTGTAAGAAAATTAAAAAAAGGAAAATAAATATAAGAGACGAATTTTAATATTATTGAGATTTTACTTTTCAATTTTGTCTCAAAAATACGGCGGGCAAATATATTAGAAAAGAGGTAGAATTAAAATATAAAATTGTGTTGTAATTTTTAGGTTAAATGTCAAAGTCATGAAATTTGTCAAAATATTAAAAACTTTAATATTTACCAACAAAAAATAATTAATATCTTGAATATCAAACTTTACAAAATATTTCTTTGTTTTTCACAAAATACTCTGCAACAGTCAACTTAGTTTTCTACGTTTTCTACCAACAATTAGAAATTTTTTCTTTACTACTTTATTTTCATTGTAGTAACCTTCTTTTTTATTACTTTCAATTTTATTAATAATTATGAAACTACTTTAGTAATAATTATTAATAAAATTATTTTTAAGTATGTTTTTTTACCTGACAGTAAAAAAAATTTAAATGTAGTGTGAGAATGTACTATTTTTTGTAATGCCAAAAATTCTAGGTTATATTTTTTGTTGATAAAGTTTTACTAAAATTTAACATTTTTCTACATTAACCTTTTATGCATTATTAATTATTCACATAAAACTGTATTTAACTATCAAAAAATATGAATAATTATCGTTTTTGATTAAAAAATACTATAAAATAAACTTTGTCGAAAAAAATGGTTCTTCTACCGTAAAGGCACCAATTATAATTAGCAGTAATGCTAACTCAAGATAGAAAAAAATAATCTTTTTCATTTCTACCAATATAACAAAAATTATTTTTTCATAAAAGATTATTATATTTTTTATTCATTTTCATATTTACTATTAATAAAATAAAAATTTTATATTATTACGATTTGAATGTGCATATTACCTGTATTTTTTTAATTAACATATCGATGCTAAATTTTTAGGTTAGACTCCCGTGTCAAAAAAATTTTATCGAAATATCCTAATTTTCTATTTCCCTGCCATGAAACTTTTATTATTTTTCGAATATTTATATAAAGCAATACCTAATTACCAAAAAATATTCATAATAATCGTTTAGATTAAAAAAATACTACAAGATTTAATTTTCTTCAACGAAATATAGTTCTTCTCTCTCTTTGACGACGCCATTAGCAATGAGCACCAATGCCAACCCAAGATAACAAAAAAGAAAAAAAAAACTTTCTCATTTCTACCAACATGAAAATAATTCCCTTTTAATTAAAGCCTAATTATTTTTTCACTTTTTTGGAAATTGAATATTTATTATTAATAAAACAAAAATTTTGTATTATTACAATTTGAGTTATACATTACCTGTAATTTTTTTATTAACATGTCGATGCTAAACTTTTTAGGTTAGATTCCCGTGTCAAAAAAATTTTATCGAATTATCCTAATTTTCTATTTCCCTGCCAAGAAACTTTTATTATTTTACGATTATTTATATAAAACAATACTTAATTATTCAAAAATATTCATAATAATCGTTTTGATTAAAAAAATACTACATGATTTAATTTTCACCAACAAAATATGGTTCTTTCTTCTCTCTCCGACGACGCCATTTGCAATGACCTGCGCACTGCCAACTCAAATAATAAAAAACTAAACTTTTCCACTTCTACCAACATAACAAAAATTTTCTTCCCACTGCACCGGATGTGGCCAGGGTTCGGAACGTAAATTACTTCAATTTTTTTATTATCTTGGGTTGGCATTGCGCTTCAGTGTAATTATCAACGATGTCAACAGCAGAATAAGTAAATCTTTTCGTTTGAGAAAATTTACTAATTATTAGTAGTATTATAACGATAATTATATATATTTTATAATATTTAACTTCAATTTTATATAAATAATCGAAAATGTATAAAAAGTGACGTGACAGCTGTAAAGAAGAATAATAACTTTGAATAAAACATTTGTGACAAAAAGAACCTACAAAGTTTGGCATTGTAATGTCCAACAAAAAAATACAGGTAATGTATAATTTAAATTGTAATAATATAAAATTTTTATTTTATTAATAATTAATATGAAAATTTTGGTAAAAAAACTAATCAATAAGCAAAAAAAAATTATGCTTGTGTAGAAAAAGAATTTTTTTTATATTGGTAGAAGTGAAAAGTTTTTTTTTTTGTTATCTTGGGTTGGCTCATTGTAAATGGCGTCGTCAGAGAGAGAAGAACCATATTTCGTTGGAGAAAATTGAATCTTGTAGTATTTTTATTTAATCAAAACGATTATGAATATTTTTTTTGATAATTAAGTATTGTTTTTATATAAATATTTGGAAAATAATAAAAGTTTCGTGACAGGAAAAAAGGAAATTAAGATATTTCTATAAAATCTTTTTTGACACGTGAATCTAAACAAAAAAGTTTAACATCGACAAGTTAAACAAAAAAATACAGGTAATGTATAATTCAAATTGTAATAATATAAAATTTTTGTTTTTTTTTTAATAGTAAATATAAAAATTGTAAAAAAAAGCGAAGAAATAAAAAATAATTAGGCTTTAATTAAGAGGGAATTATATTTATGTTGGTAGAAGTGAGAAAGTTTAGTTTTTTTTTTGTTATCTTGGGTTGGCATTGGACCTCATTGCAAATTGTTGCAAACAGTTGCAAATGGTGTCAAAAAGTAGAAGAAACATATTTTGTTCGAGAAAATTTAATCTTGTGATATTTTTTATCATCTGAAAGTTAGTTATATATATATATATATATATATATATATATATATATATATATATATATATATATATATATATATATTGTACGATATTTTAGTTCAATATTATATGAATAATCAAAAATACATAAAATATTTGTGGTAAGTGCGAAGAAAAAAAAAAATTTAGGTAAAAACTTTTTCGGCAAAAAATATAACCTAAATATTTTAGGCATTAAACTTGTGATTTGTCGCATATATTTTTTCGTCACATTATACCGTTGCTATATGTCATTTTAGCGAATTTGAATTTTTTTTAAACTGCTGTAAGAAAAAATTATAACATTTTATTAATAATGTAATTAGTTGTAGTAATTTTTTTTATCTGGTTGGTATTACTGTAGTGGACATTGTAAAAAAAGCGGTTGAAAGTGACAGAAAATTTTGTGAATAACAAAAAACATCTTTCAATTTTAATACAAATTAAAAATATATTTCACTAACTATGTTCAGTGTGGGATAAAAATTTTCCAAATTTCAACTAATTTTTGTTGGTAAATATCAGAATTTTTAATATTTTGTCAAATTTAATGATAATTTGTAATTTAACCTAAAAATTACTACATAAACAATTTCACATTTAAATTCTATATTTGTTTGGATACGAGTTTTTTGGTATATTAGTATAAATTTTTCCTTTTTTTTTGATAAATAAAATTATTATTTTAATTATTAATCGTTTAGAATGTTTACAATTTAAACAATTTTTCATGAAAATTAAAGTTGTAAATTAACAATTCAAAATTATGTGAAACAGGCAAAATATGTATTTTACAGTTTACATATATAATAATTAAAACTTTTTTTTTTCAAATTTACCAAAATTATTTAATAATTATTTTTAAAAATAAAGTTTTCTGGATTTTTATTTAGACAATTTTTGTTTATTATTTTTTTTACAGAATTCAGACATGGAGAGTAATTGGATGTAATTTTTATCCACAGATGAGATGACAAAAGACAACTTCTACTAAATCTTCAAATAAGTGAGTCTTTTTTGATACAGAAAATTATTACATTACTTATTAAAAAATACTTTACTTATTACATTAAAGTTATTCTTAATTAATAACACAAATCATGTAAATTAATTAAAATTTACAAAAAACTGACATTAAGAAAATGTTTAATTTTTATAAAATGAATTTAAGAAATAATGAAGTTGATTTTATCCTGAAAATGTTATTTTAGATTTATTTGTAAAATAATTTTTTTTTCTCAATTTACAGGTGTCCAATCATGAAGGATGGGTGTTTGTTGCGGAGCTGCTCCTGGAGGAGATCTTGTATTGCTGAGTCGCAGTTCAATGTAAGTTGATCATAATTTTTTCCCCTTAATTTATGTATATTTTAAGATATACTTAGTTTAAATATTTGGAAATAATAATAATTAGTATTAAAAATATACTTGAAAATTTGTAAATAAGATCCAATAAGGTAAAAGCACCAGTACCTGGACAAATCAAAAATTGCAACCAGTAGATGGACAGTAGCAAAAAGAAATTAAAAAAGCCCTCAAATTAAGTAAAAAAAATTTGAGAAACTCTTTAGATAATTATCTTTTAGGCAAAATAAAATTTATTAATTGTAGGAGTAAAAAAAATATAAAAAACAATTTCTCTAAAATCGCTGTCCAATTCTGTCTGAATTGACTGTCCAAGTTAACCAACCGCTTTATATGTTGTACCCAATAGTTGGCCAAAGATTTAATTCAATTAACTCAATCAGTTTAATTAATTTAATTAATATAATTAGTTTAATTGTATTTTAGTTAAATTATTTAATTTATTAAATAATCAAAATAACTAAATAAATAAAGGAGGAGGGCCCCTAAGGCCTATATTTCGCCCCCTTGGGATTTTAATTTAAATGGTTGAAAACTTTTTCTTATAGTAGAAAAAGTAATTTTTCATTGATTTTAGGTGAAAGGGGGGTGTTTTGGTCAAATTAACTCTTAGATTTTAGGGTTTTTGTTTTCAAAGAGTGTCAAAAAAACATGCAAAAAAAATTTTCCAAATGTTGAGCAATTGACTTGAAAACCGTTGCTCCGACGTTAGTTTTTCAAAATTCAAAATGGCGGATGACTTTTTGAAAATCTAATATTATTGGCCTGAAAATTGTAACTCGGGGGTTTTCGGGGTCGCTGATTACGAATCGGAGGTCAGTTTCTTAAAATTCAAAATGGCGGATCCAATATGGCGGACAACTTTTGAAAAAACTTATTATATTCGTCTGAAGTAAGTAAGTCTGAAGTGAAATCCAAACGATTTTTTAAAAAAAAGTCCGCCATATTGGATCCGCCATTTTGAATTTTAAAAAACTGACCTCGGATTCGTAATCAGCGACCCCGAAAACCCCCGAGTTACAATTTTCTGGCCAATATTAGATTTTCAAAAAGTCATCCGCCATATTGGATCCGCCATTTTGAATTTTGAAAAACTAACGTCGGATTCGTAATCAGCGACCCCGAAAACCCCCGAGCAACGGTTTTCAAGTCAATTGCTCAACATTTGGGAAATTTTTTTTGCATGTTTTTTTGACACTCTTTTTGAAAACAAAAACCCTAAAATCTAAGGGTTAATTTGACCAAAACACTCCCCTTTCACCTAAAATCAATGAAAAATTACTTTTTCTACTATAAGAAAAAGTTTTCAACCATTTAAATTAAAATCCCAAGGGGGCGAAATATAGGCCTTAGGGGCCCTCCTCCTTATTATTAAATGTCCAACTACTGGGTCTTATCATGTCCAACTACTACGGTTTTCGAAATACCATGTACAACTTTTGCTGTAAATGTGCAATTTCATTATTTCATGATTTTAATTGAATTAAAACATTTATTATTAATTTTGTCTAATTAGTATTTTTTAAAGGTAAATAAAACAAAAATACAAACATTTTATCAATTATATTGAATTATCTTAGTACAAAACACAAATAAATTTAAGACCCCTCCAATAGCGTCGAGGTACTGGTGCTTTTACCTTATACCAGTAAAAAATAGTTTGGAATATTTTTAAATATTTTGCAGAAATATTAATAGTCAATATATATATAATGGAAATTATTTCAATATTTGTAAATGATAATTAGTACAATATTAAATATTAACATTTATAAATATTGAAATATTTAAAAGTATAATAATAATTATTAGAATAATAAAATAATTGTTAATATTCAGGATTTTTAATATTTGATTTTACACACATAATATAATGAATTATTTTTTTCTCAGGCAGTTGGTGCAGTAAAGGAAAGATTTTTCCATTGAAAGAGAGGATATGCTGACATCGTATTTTTTACACATCGCAGAAATTTTCCCCTATAGGTGAGTTTTTTTTACAATATTTTTCTGGAATATCAATAAATGGAATAAAAAGAAATTAAAAAAATTATTTTAATATTTATAAATATTAATGTATTCAAAAATAATTGATAATATTGAGAATTTTTAATATTTTATTTTACAAATATAAAATCATAAATTTTTTTTTTCAGGTCCATAAGAAGGAAGTCCTTTTATAAAAAGGATATGTTGTTATCGTATCTCTGACACTACGCAGAAACCCTCTCATTTAGGTGAGTTTTTTTTAAAATTGATTAATTAATTTAACATTAATTTAAAACTAATTGATTAAAAAATAATAACTCAGCATCTCATAGTGTTTTGAGAAAATAATTGTATAATTTAATTTTTTAATAAATGTTTTTTTTCAGCTCCATTCTAATTTTCCAAATATCTGACGAGACTAGGAAGGATGTGGAAGAAGAAAAGTGGCCCCTGCAACATCTTTTTTTTATAAAATTTTTTTTTATTTTTTCTTATTTTTTTATAAGATTTTTTTTTGAGCTCCCGGCCTCGCGCAGAAGTGCGAGCAAGAAAGAGGGATCCTCGGGAGCTGGCCCAGAAGAGCTCGAGAGTGGCAATGACGTTATTGTCCCGACGTGGGATGATTCGCCGATCGGTGAGTCGTTTTTTATTTAACTCCTTCCCTGTTTAAAACAGCTAATTTTTCTTGTAAATTCAATTAAATTAGATTCAAAATAAATTTTTTTAAATATATTGTTAATTTATAATTTTTTTTTAGTCTTGCCTGTTTTAAAAAACGTAGATATATTAAAATTGATCGAAATAAAATATTTAAATTAAAAAATAAACAGGGAAGGAATTCTGACAACATGGTGACACCATTGACAATATTTATTATTTTGTAGTATTTTTTAGGGGTAATCTAAAAAAAACGTGTGATATTTTCGGAAATTTATACCCTTAAAATTTCTAACACTCTCCATATTCTAAAATATTACACGTTTTGTGGTTTACTACCTTAATACTACGTAAATTAATATTTTTGTCAATGTTTCTTTTCATTATTTATATATGTATGATATTTATTTACTGTATATTTAATATTTTTAATGTTTTGTAATTTTTCCTATTGAGTCAAAGGAATTTTCTTTTCTATTAAAAAAAAGTAATTTGTAAAATTTTATTAAATTTAAATAATTTATTTAATCTTATTAATAACTTTTTAATTTTGCATAGTAAATTTTTTATTTAATTATTAAAAGTTAATGCATGTGGAATTAAAAATTAAAAGATAATTTTTTAATTGTGGACTAATTAAATGTTTTCTTTTCAGAAAAGATCGCTCAGGTGACGGTTGCGTCCCGGGACGTTAACCCTAGTTTAGGTAATTTTCACCTGGGCGATATTAGTTTCGTTTAGAATATAAATGTAGGTAGGAAATTCGGGAAAAATAGGCATTTTTGTTCCGTTTTAAATATAGCAACAGGTAGGGAAATCGGGTTGAAAATGTAAGTAAAAGACAAGTAACTGGAGTACCAGTGAAAATTTGCTTTATTTCAATCTTTCATTTTTTTTCTGTCACTATGTTGTCTTTTATATTTTAATATTTTGTGTATGTTTTCTAAGTGTTTTGTGAATGTTTTGTTTAATTTATCATTATTTTCAGTTGAATCATCGTGGTGAGCAAAAATAATTTTTTTTAATTGTAATAATCATTCATTTTTTCAGAAATGTTTAATTTATTATTTTCTTAATCTAGTAATATATATTTATGTATTGTACTGTATGCACTATATTTTTATTTATTTATTTATTATTATTATTATTTAATATATATATATTTATTGTATTATATGCCCCTTTATATTTGTAGAATATATTTTAATGTCGTTATTTTAATGTTTTCATGTATCCTCAACATATTTGGGAAATTGGTGAACATTTGGAAATTTTGGAAAGAGGAGTTTTTGTTGGAAAAATGGACGTTCTTTAACATTATTTAAGGTATGAAATAAAATTGTTTATTTATTTATTTATTTATTTATTCACAAATACTGTCAGTGTCCTTTCGTAAAAATTGTACTTTATTACAAAAAATAACAAAATATTAATATTATTAATTATTAATGTTAATAATCATAATTAATATTAATATTATTGTATATTGATATTAATATTTACTCGAAGAATGCTAAAATTTTCCAAAATATTCGATATAAAAATTACTAAAAAAAAAAGAAAAAAAAATTTGCAAAATTCTGTGAAATGTTAATTCAAAAAATGAAAATTCCTCGAAATTATTTCTATTATTTTCTATCATTGAAATTTATATTAAATTTTATATCAATTACTATTATGCCAAAATTTAAATCGACAGTGTGGAATTTGTTTGAATAAATAAATAAATATAAATAAAAATAAAATTTGTTGAAAATGAAAATTCTAACTAATGATTTTTATAAAAAATTTTATTTTTTTTAATTTTTTTTTATTTTTATAAGCCTAAAAAATTTTGTTTTTTTATGAATTAATGAAGTCAATTTTATTGATATTTTTTATCAGTGTTAAGAAAAAGTCTTCTTCACCGTTAATGAAGAATAAAAAGAAAAATACATACATTTGTAAAATGTAATTTGTCAAATGTTTGTAACATTTTATCATTTACATCCGTGCATTGTTATTTCCGGTGACCTCAGGCGTTTCCTGTGTGTTATACGTTTCTTTGTTTTAACATAGAGAGAAAGAGAGAAAGAGAGAAGGAAAAAAAAAAAAAATTAGTAAGAACTTGGGACCTCCCCCGAAGTGCACTGATCAAAAAAGACAAGTTTGAATAGGGTTCACACACGTAGTAAGTAAGTAACCGCTTTTTTTTTTGGTTGAAACGCTCATCGAAGCAAATCCTTTTAAGAGAAAGAGAGAGAAAGAGAGAGAAAGAGAGTGATCACGGATTCGAGGGGCATGCCAACACGCCACACCTTCAACTATATTCATGTGTATGTCCTGTAATTTCCTGAAACGAATGTATATAAAGGGAGGACACGGATGTCTGCACACGGGAGACAAGTGAAAGAATAAAAAATAAAAAAAAAAAAAAAAAGATCGTGGGAAAGAATATGATAAATATTAAAATTATATTAAGATCTGGTTCTTTAATATTATTTGCGCCTTCTGTTTACAATACTCGCATTCGATATACATAAATATATTATTATCTTTACTTTCACGTTCTTTTAGATGCAGAATTTTACATTTCTTTTTTTTTTGAAAATTATCTTAAATTAAATAATAATTTTTATAATAATTATTTTTATAAAAATTATAATAGTTTTTTTTTTAATTTTATTATAATTGTATAAAAAATTATAATGATTTTTTAAAAAATTTTATTATAAATACATTTTTAAAGAAAAAGAATATAAAATTCGACTAAAGATAAAATGATTTAGAAACTGATATTCACATTTTTTAAATGTATTCGAAAGTTTTAAAAGTTTGAAAGATATGTATATAGTTGAGAGAATGTTTCCATTCAACAAAAAAAAAAAGAAATAAGAAGTAAAATTTCTAACAATTTCAAATCTCCGGCTTTCGGAAGTTTACAGTCAATGGTATTAAATCTGACTGAGTGCACGTAAAAAGAAAAAGAGAGAAAAATTTCTCTTTAAATCAAAAAATTTCAAATTTTTTTTTTCGAAAAAAAAAAAAAATAATAAAACAAAGTAATAAGAATTATGGGCAAAAAATATAATTCAATTATTAAATATTTTTAAATATTTATTCTGTGAGTTATAAAAATTTAAATATTTATTTATTACAAAATATAAAAAATTTCTTTGTCGCAATAATAATTTTTATTTGTAACAAATAAAATAACAAATGAAAATTTATTTAAAAAAATTAATTGAAACTTATTGAAAACAATTGAAATTTATTTAAAACAAATTGAAAAATTATTTGAAACTAATAAAAGTTTATTTGAAACAAATAAAAATTTGATACAATTATAAAATAATTGTTAATAATAAAAGAATAATAATTTATTAAAAACAAATAAAAATTTATTTGATACAAAATTGAATTTTATTTGAAACAAATTAAAAATTATTTTGAAACAAGTGATTTTTTATTTTGTAAGGGAAAGAAATATATTTATTTTTTCACATTGTGTATATACATTCTTAATATAAAGAATTTTAAATATTGAATTAAAGTATAGTAATTATCACATTAAAGAAAGTTTGGAAAAAGAAGAAGCAAAGACGTTTGCATAAGAAATACCATATAAGTAACTGAAATCTTTAGGGCCCATGGTACCTTTATTCATGCTATCAAATTACACGCACACAATTTATAACGTACCAGTTCAAATTTTATACAAAACTGTCCATAACGTGAAAGAGAAAAGAGAGATAGAAGAAACAGTAGGAAAAGTGAGAAAGAGAGACAGTAACCGCATCCTCTCAACGTCCAAGTTATTGTGGAACGGTTCCTATATATATATATATATATATGCTTATTGGAGGGAGAAGGATGTACTTCCGCCCCTGAAAACTCTTTCCGTTCGGATGCACTGACAATGAGTAACGATCTAACGATGTGCAAGTTACTATAAAGTGTCATAGAGACATTGATTCTACACACAACTATTCAATCTGTTTCTATAACAATGCATTCTTGTCAGATTTTCATTTTAATTGCTTATCTCTTGTTATATAGTTAGCTACGATACTAAAACAACGATTGTGATGAAATATTTGGGTCTTATTAAACTATCTTAATATTCCACTAATTTAAAAAAAAAAATAAAATTCGTAAATTTTTGCTGAAATTAGAATATTTTAATATTCCTGAAATATTTCTGCGGAATATTCTATTAAGATATTCCCTCTTTAGAATAGAATATTCCATTCACATTCTTGCAATATTCCAATTTTTTTAATAAAATCAAGTTAAAATACGTAAATTTTTAATGAAATTATAATATTTTAATATTTCTGGAATATTTCTGTGGAATATTCCATTTAGATATTCACCCATGGAGTGTTAAGTAAAATTACGTATATTTCTAGAATATTTTTGCAGAATATTCCATTTAGATATTCACTCATTGGAACACAATATTCCATTCACATTCCTGCAATATTCTAATTTTTTTTAAATAAAATAAAGTTAAAATTCTTAAATTTTTAATGAAATTATAATATATTAGCATTGCTGGAATATTTGTCCGAAATATTCCATTTAGATATACACTCATTTGAAGAGAATATTCCATTCACATTTCTGCATTATTGCAAATTTTAACATTGAAAATATATCAATGGAATATTTTATTTATTGTCCATGAATATTAAAGTATATTCCACTTTTGGAACGTTTCCCTGGAATATTGAAGGAAAATTCAAATTTAATGCTATGGGAATATTCCATTGGAACATTTGTAATATTACAAAAACATAAAAATATCTGAACTGTGGAACAATCTTTTGCAATATTGTTGGAATATTCACTTGAAATATTTTTGGATTATTCCAATTGAACATTGTAGTAATATTCCAATGGAATATATTAATAATATTCTGTTAGAATATTGTGGAAATATTCTGCTTGGAATATTGTTGAATTATTCTGTTGAGGTATTATGAAAATATTTTGTTATTTGGAATGTTGTAATATTCCATTGGAATATTGTAATAATATTCTTTTAGAATATTGTGGATATATTCTGTTTGGAATGTTGTAATATTCCATTGAAATATTGTAGTAATATTCCATTGGAATATTGTGGTAATATTCTGTTTGGAATGTTGTAATATTCTATTGGAATATTGTAGTAATATTCTTTTGGAATATTGTGGATATATTCTGTTTGGAATGTTGTAATATTCCGTTGAAATATTGTAGTAATATTCCATTGGAATATCGTAGTAATATTCTTTTGGAATATTGTGGATATATTCTGTTTGGAATGTTGTAATATTCCGTTGAAATATTGTAGTAATATTCCATTGGAATATTGTAGTAATATTCTTTTGGAATATTGTGGAAATATTCTGTTTGGAATGTTGTAATATTCTATTGGAATATTGTAGTAATATTCTTTTGGAATATTATAGAAATATTCTGTTCGGAATGTTGTAATATTCTTTTGGAATATTGTAGTAATATTCTTTTGGAATATTGTGGAAATATTCTGTTTGGAATGTTGTAATATTCCATTTATTATTGTAGTAATATTCGTCTGGAATATTGTGGAAATATTCTGTGGAATGTTATAATATTCCATTGAAATATTATTGTAATATTCTGTTCTGTATTTCAAGGCAATAATCTTACATAATTCTAATGGAATATTTCCATAATATTCCATGTGAATATTTCCATAATATTCCATGAGAATATTCTCGCAATATTTTCAAGAAACGTGTCCTAAGGTCATTTTAATATTCCTGAAATATTCCTTTTGCTTTTTCACATTCTTACATAATGAAATTTTCCCGGAATGTGAATGAAATATTGCGTGCTATTCTAAACATTTTATACATATGCAAAAAAAAATTATTTCTGACATAAGTCACTGGAATGTGCGAAATTTTTTTAAAGGAATATTTCCAATATGGATATTCAATTGGAATATTCCAAATATTCCAGGAATATTCCAATTTTTCGCACATTTAATTGAGAAATTTTCTCTTAAAAATGCAGGAAAACACATGTTTTTTTTTTTTTTTTTAGAAATTCCTAATTCCACCGAAATAATTGAGGTAGTGCGAGATGAGGAAAGGTGGCAACTTTTATATATATATATATATATATATATATATATATATATATATATATTGCTTCTGTTTCACTCTCTTTCTCTCTTACTCTAAAAAAAAAACCAACAGGTAGAAAAAGATGTACACACACAGGTGGTCGGAGCAATATGCCTGATGTCGGGTTGCGATACGACACATGAACGTGAACGTCGGTCAGTGTCTAGTGTGTGCTTCACGTTCTCAGACTTGTCAGTTATGTTTTCGATTCACACAACAACTTTTCTTCAAATAATATTGTGCAATCACCCACGTGGATAAATTTTCGCGATTTTTCATCTATTCAATTTTTTTTTTTCTATTCTCTGCGAGATGTGAAATAAATATTATTATTATTATTATTGTTTATTTATAAATTAAAAAAGTGCGGGAAAATAAATTTTTTGTTTTTAAAAAAATAATGTGAAGTGAAATAAACAATAATTGGGATTTAAAAAAAAGTGTTTTAAAACGTAAATATATTTTTAAAAATTATTTCAATTTTGTTGCACAATGAATATATCGTGAAATATATTTTAAAATAATGATAATAAAAAAACTTTTTTTATTTTTATCAAAATTCAATATAGATATCTTTATTGTTATTTAATAATTATTTTAATAATTAATTTAATTATTATTATAATTATTTTAATAATAATTATTTAGTTTTGTTTAATATTAATTAAATAACCGAAAAGTCGAATTTATTTAAAATAATCAAATTAATATTATTTCGAATTCTGTTTAAGAAAAAAAGATATTAATTTTCTTATTTTCCATATATATGAAACAATTGAAGTGAATTATTGAAAGTTTTATATTCGAAAAATTTGTTTGTGACAAGAAAAAACTGAAAATTGTATAACCCTAAGACATGAAATTCTGTTTCTGAAATTACTTTTCGTACGAACCTACATTTTGCATGACAACTTAGAAATTGTTCGAAATATTTTTACCTTGAAACAAAAAAAAAAAAAAAAAAGAAGTTAAAAGAAAAATTTTTCCAGAAAATGGAAAATATGTTTATGTATATATATAGAGCTGAAAAATATGTGTTACACCTTGCAAGAAAGGAGAGGAATTCTAATACTTTGGAATGACATTATCCAAATATAAGAAATTCTACCCTCTAAAGGATATAAAATGCAAACTCTTCAACTATTTTACGGGACAAGTGTATACATTGTAAATTCTGATGTTTTTATCCTATATATATAGTATACATAATTCAAATAGATAAAAAAAACAAACTTTCATGTATTCACTTCAAAAAAAAAAAAAGTTTAAAAATATTTTTTTTTGTCAAAAATTTCAAGGGAAATTCAAAATCGGATTTTGCATTTCTGATAACAATAATACAAAATACATTCCACAAACGTGCAATGCATTGTAATTCTATATGTAATTTGTTTATGAGTAGTACGCTACATAATATGTATATTTTATAAAGTAGAGAGAGAGAGAGAGAAAAAAAAAAGGGCAGGATGTTGCCGAGAGGGAAATGGGATGGTTCGAGTGTAAGAGAGGCGGCTGTTGAAAATGTTGATGGTGTCGCCATACGGTTGCCGCATAACAATCATCATAAAACGATTATCATAAGTATTCGGCCTTTTTTCTTTTTTTTTTTTTTTTGTTCAATCTGTTGAAACTTTTTTTTTATGAATGCCAAAACCTTCACTTCATTGTGCAACAATAATTGAAATTGTAACAGAGGGGAAAATAAAATTAAAAGTGAAAATTAAAAAAGAGAATTAAAAAGAAAAAAAAACTGAAATTAAAAAATAAAATTCATAAAAATCATTAGAATTTTGATTTGAAAGAATTTTATTAGATATAATTATTTTTTTAGACATTTCAGTTTTTGAATTAGAATTTGATTTCTCTTTAAACGAATTTTTATTGTACAGAATTCTTAAAACGCCAAATTTTTATTTGTCCGAAATTGCAAACGGCCGAACAGTCGATTTCGGCGCGTTTTTTAAAATTGACCAATCAGAAATTGTCAAAAAAATCGTAATTGGTCAATTTTAAAAAAACGCGCCAAAATCGATTGTTCGTTCGGCCGTTTGCAATTTCGGACAAATAAAAATTCGGAGTTTTAAGAATTCTGTACAATAAAAATTCGTTTAAAGAGAAATCAAATTCTAATTCGAAAACTGAAATGTCGTTTTAAAAAAATAATTGTATCTAATAAAATTCTTTTAAATCAAAATTCTAACTAATTTTAATAGAATAATCATGCGCCCCTAAAAAACAAAATTAAAAATTATGTTCGAATTTCTAATATATTCAAATTTTATTTGCCCTAAAATTGTACATAATTTGTTTTCGTAATTATTCATTTCCCATTCGATAATTGCAGGAATTATTTTTTAATTCTCAAAAACAAATAAATATACCCATTCAATTATTAAAATAATAAATTTCTTCGCCAAAATTCTCAGCAATTTAATCAATTTATGAATGTGCAATAAACTAGGTCAATCGATAAGTCTCAATACCTGGGGAAAAAAAAAGAAGCTAAACATACAAAGTGAAAACGTGCGACGATAATTAATCTCTGACATTTTTTTAACGTGCCAAAAAAAAAAAAAAAATGATGGATGAATTTTAAAAACTCAGTAATACTGTCAATTATTGAAAATGGTGATTACCAGTACTAGTTCGACGGGAAGTCAACATTTTGCAGTGACAGGATCAAAATTACGACGATCGAGAAGATTATCATCAACAAGAGGACTACATCCGAGAAACACTAAAAATTCCCACTCTAATGATCAAATGAAACCAGATCTCAATCAAAAATTAGGATTATGTCCAATAGTGAGTAAAAATTTAGACAATGATATAATGAAACACGATATGAATTGGGATTTAAATGAAAGAATAAGTCTCACTAGTGGTTCAATTAATGATGATTCAAATGATAAAATTCGACAACAAAAAATTAAATACAAAACAAATGATCAAATTAGAAAGAAAAAAGATCTCAAACTAATGAATGTATCCGGATTTTCCAATGAAAGTCAAAAAAATAGAGATTTAAACCATCGAATTGATTCCAAAATTGTCAAAAATAATCACATATTTCTTGATGATGATGATGATAATAATTTGCCAAAGAATGACACAAGTAAAGAGAATGAGGTCATCACCACCGCACAAAGAAGATGGATCGCTGCCAAAGAAAAAGTCGACAGAACAAATGAATCAATATCAAAACGATTGGAACTAATTCACGAATTGAATCAAAAAATATTTTCAAATTGTGAAAAATTTCATCGTAAAAATAATACAAAAAATGGTGAATTAAAAATTAATGTTGAAAAAAAATCATTTAATGATAATTTGAAAAATTGTGAAATTTATTCAAAAATTCCAATAATAAAAAAAGATAAGGAAAATATTCATGATACTTATGAGAGAAATGGTTTATTTAAACAAAAAGTCGATATCAATAAATTCACATTCTCAAAAGATTATTGCGAAAGATTATTGTCAACTGAGAAATTAGATCCAAAAAAATCACAATCTAGTGATAATTTTAGTTTAGCAATTAGGCCAGAATTTGTCAAACATTGTCGGGAAATGAAAAAAAATATTATTGATAATGAATCGACAATTATTGAAAATAGGTCAGATGTATCGCGTTCGGTATTTTACGTTGAAAATGATGACGATAAAAGTCAAGTGAAAAAGGAAGTCGTTCAATCTTGTCTTGAAAGCTCGAGACTGTATCCGGTGAGTTATCAAAATGGATCATTAAAGAAACCACATATACAAAATGATGATGATGATGATGATGATTCTTTAATGGAAAAAATGACAATAAACCAATTTCAAAATTCGCCTAGCAAAGAATCAAAAGATACAATAAATTTCACAAGTCAGGAGAAAATTCTTGAGGATGAAATTCTAAAGAATTTAAACGACACTATCGGCAGTTTTGACATTGACAAAAATGATACACCAAGTTCTGATTCAATGGGAAAAAATGAAAGTTTCAGCACAGATTCAATACAAAGTTTAAGTCCGATAACAAGTTCACAAAGTGCTGTAAATACAACGCTTCAAGAAACGTTTAATTCTTCATGGGATTCGGGAGTTAGTGTTGAAGTTGGATCAGGCAGCGGTTGGGTTAGAGTACATACGGGAATTGAAAGCAGTTTAGTTTATCTCACATTGGAAACAACATGTAAAGATGTTTGCCGAGATATGCTACTTGGCGATGAGTTGTCACTTTTCATACAGGTGAGAGAAGCAAAAATTTTGTCCAAAAAAAAAAAAAAAAAATTGTCTTTTGGTTATCACAGAAAAAAAGGTGGGTAAAAAGTTGTAAAGATAGAGGATAAAAGTCGTTAAGATACAGGGTAAAGGATAAATTTGTGATGGATAAAAATGTTACTAAAATATTACTAGAAAAATGGATGTCATATTTGAGTAAACTGTCTAATTTTAATAAAAAAATTAGTAATTTTACACTTAACTTATTAAATCCACAAATTTTATATAAATAAGTAATTGCACGTGGAAATATTTTGCCTATAATTATTGTCTATTAATAAAAATATCTTTGACTAATATAACTGACAGCTGACGACAGTGCGTAAATAATCAGAACTGAGATATTACAACTCAACTTCTGTATTGTTGCACGAAAGCAGAGTTGGGTAGTAACTGAATTTTTTGTGCATATTAGGCTGTGTCAGTTCATCGAGATATTTCGAGTTCAAGATATGACGTCAGAGGCCTGGAGGGACAACAAACAGACGACACAATGTTATTCTTACGGGGAAGAAAATTTGTTTCCACTTTCATCAATTTTATTCATACTTTGAACATGGAAAACGCTTGTTGACATACAATAAAATTAAAATGTGTGTTGATAATTAATTTTGTTATATATTTGATTCATTTGCATTGATAGATTCTTTGAATTCGTGATAAAATATAAATATTGAGGTTAGAAAAGTTTGTTTACTAATCACATTTTACATTTTAACATTATTAAACAATATCCAGTATGCATGTTATTAAAAAAGATATAAAATATATATTTTAAGTGGGAATTACCGCAGCAGTAAAAGATTTCAAGTTAGTATACAAACACCCCTAACCTCAAAATTTATATTTTATCACGAATTCAGAGAATCTATCATTGCAATTGAATCAAATATATATAACAAAATTAATTATCAACACACATTTTAATTTTATTATATGTCAACAAGCGTTTTTCGTGTTTAAAGTATGAATAAAATTGATAAAAGTGGAAACAAATTTTCTTCCCCGTAAGAATAACATTGTGTCGTCTGTTTGTTGTCCCTCCAGGCCTCTGACGTCATATCTTGAACTCGAAATATCTCGATGAACAGACACAGCCTAATATGCACAAAAAATTCAGTTACTATCCAACTCTGCTTTCGTGCAACAATACAGACGTTGAGTTGTAATTTTTATTAAAATTAGACAGTTTAGGCTGCAGTCCCATGGCAGCGTTTTGCGTTGCGTTTTGTCACTAGGCCATGAGTGTAAAAGAGATGCAGATATATGTTTGCTATGTTTACACTCAGGGTCTAGTGACAAAACGCAACGCAAAACGCTGCCATGGGACTGCAGCCTTACTCAAATATGACATCCATTTTTCTAGTAATATTTTAGTAACATTTTTATCCATCACAAATTTATCCTTTATCCTGTATCCTAACGACTTTTATCCTCTATCATTACAACTTTTTACCCAACTTTTTTTTGTGTAGAAGTAGTGGCGCCACTTATTTTTGTTCAAATAAATATACTACAATATTTATTTAAATCAAGTTTTTAAATACTAATTTATCACTAGTAATCATTTATTTCATCATATTTCATTAATTTATTATAATATTTTGCCTCGGATTGAGCCGAGTTTAAAAATCCACTATAAAAATTATAACGCGACAATTACCAAAACTACTCATGTCAATTTAACAAAATGTGTGGACAAAAATGGTGTTTTTTTTTATATATTTGCCGTACCACTTTTGGCTAGGGGCTTTTTTGATATTTAAGGTTAGGTTTTAAAAAATTAACTTAGGTCAGAATTCTATAAATGTATATAGAATATAACTAGGGGGGCTTTGCGCGCCAACCCCCTATTTTTTATTGGTTTTGTAGATTTTTGAGTTAATGTTTAGACAATTTCTGGAATTTAAAACTATTATTAATATTTTATTATTTATTTCTTTAAATGTTATTTACGATTTTTATTAAAAATAATTTTTATTATTTTCAATTTTTAAAACAAAATTTATCTAAGTTTTTAAATTTTCCAACTAAAATTTGACCTACATTTAAGGTTAAGTTCGTTTTTTGGTCATTTTCCTTCAAAGTTTGACCTAAATTTTGAGGTTATGTTTGTTTCTTTGTCTTTTTGCGCCAAATTTTGGCCTAAATTTTGAGGTTATGTTTGTTTCTTGGTCGTTTCCCTATAAAATAACTTAACCTTAAAATTTAGTTCAATTTCGGCGGAAAATCCACCTCTCCTTCAACTTACGGAAGAAGAGGGGGGGGCTTGCGACTATATTCAAAGTCTTCAAACGAACATAACCTTTAAATTCAGGTAATTTTTGGCAGGAAATCTACCTCCACTTGCGGCTATATTGAAAGTCTTGAAATGAACATAACCTCATAATTTATGTCATTTTTGGCGGGAAATACGGAGAGAGATGAGGAAAGGGGGAACGACTTGCTGCTCTATTCAGAGTCTTGAAACAAAGATAACCTCAGAATTTAGGTCACTTTTGGCGGGAAATACGGAGAGAGGGGAGGACTTTCGGCCCTATTCAGTTTTGAAACGAACATAACCTCGAAATTTATGTCATTTTTGGCGGGAAATACGGAGAGAGGGTAAAGGAGGGGGGAGTACTTGCGGCCCTATTCAGAGTCTTGAAACGAACATAACCTTAAACTTTAGGTCATTTTTTGCGTGGTAGGGGGGGGGGAGGGGGAATATATAGTAACGTTAGGAAATTTAATAATAGCAACATTAATCTAAAAGTAGCCAGTTGGCTTCCATTGTTCTCACTTGCCATTTGTCATAATTCTCATCAACTACCGCACCCTGCTTTAGTGATAATTTAGTAACTTTATAGTAACTTTTTATTTTAACAAAATCACTAAATTTTCATTAAAGCAGGGTGCGGTAGTTGATGAGAATTATGACAAATAGCGAGTGGGCACAATGGAAACCAACCAATAGCGACAACCAGGGTTCTGAAGTTACACGTAACTTTTTATTGTTTACGTATAATCAGATATGGCTACGTAATTTACCTCAAATAATTTACATAGTTTTTTACAGTAATTTACCATGTAATTTACGTCTTTAGTTTTCTACAGTAATTTACGTTTATCAAACCTAACCTTAAATTTATGATTAATGAATTGTTATTACGTCCTTTGTTGAAAATTTTTAAAAATTGTTTTGATTTAGCATCGTTGAAAGATACGTATTTTTAATAAGACCGGTTGATTTCCTTTGTCCTCACTCGTCATTTGGCATAATTCTCGTCAACTATCTCACCCTGCTTTAGTGAAAATTTAGTGATTTTGTTAAAATAAAAAGTTACTATAAAGTTACTAAATTTTCACTAGAGCAGGGTGCGGTAGTTGACGAGAATTATGACAAATGGCAAGTGGAAATAACCAACCAACTAAACTTCCATAAAAAGCAAGTGAACAGTGTTGCCAACTTATATCAGAATTCTATAAAAGTCCCTATATAATAAATAGTAACTTTAGGAAATTTAATAATAATAATACCAATATTAATCTTAAATTTATCACAACTGGTACCTTCTACCCTATTTTATGAAAAAAATAATTCCCACAATTTGAGAAAAATAATTCTTCCAATATATATATATGATTTTGAGAGAAATTGGATTTAAGAGTTTTCTATAGACATCATTAATGTTAAAAGAATTCGCACATTTTCCGCTAACGTTTCTAGTTATTTTTTTCCTTTCAAGTTTTTTCTTTTTCTTTGCTTTTCTAGGTTATGTACCACAATTTTCAAAGTTTGTCGATCTTCAATATCCAATTTAAAAAACAAAAACAGAAAAACCTCTAGCAGATAATATTCTCTCTGAGAATTTTATTGTACGATTTCTGTTTTCAGATTTTTCTTAATCGAGTTAAAGCCATTTGATTATCAGAAATCTGTACCAATTTTTTTTTTTAGCATATTATCGTTCAAAGTAGATAAATTTTTTCGTTTTTTCTCTATCGCGGACTTTTTTTTTTTTAGTATTCAAAAATCGATTTCAAGTACATATTTCCTTTTTAGATAAGAAAATGTTACAAAATAGAAAAGAGATTTTTTTTAACCATCTCAAAACTCATTAAGGGAGAATTAGATATATATTCATAAAGAAAAGAGATCATGAAAAATTAACAATCATAAAGTTCTCTGAGTCATTAAAACTCATTCGAGCATAATTGGAGAGAAGCAGTCACGAAAAGGGAAGTCAAATTAATAATTCCCGATTTTATTCAACATTGCCCTATAGAATTATCATAATGCCTTCTTGACTCAATTTATTCATAGAAATAAATTGAGAGAGAAAAAAATCTTTTTTTTTTTCATAGTACCGCAGAGGTGTAAATAATTAAGAAAATGAAATTTTTTCAATTTTTTGTACGGTTGGAAGTAATTTAAAATTATTGAATAAAAAAAATATGATTAAAATATGAAAAGTTGTTACAGTTATAGAGAGAGAGAGTAAGAGGAAATAGAGATCGAATAATGCTCAAAGGACTGTAACAAAACGAAATCCATCTAGTTATTATCTCTCGGGATGCAGTCTCTGACTCCCAGTCAATATTTCAGAATCTTGCAGATGTCTACTCACATTCCATACGATTTTTCCAATATCGAATAGGCAACCATACTTTTTCTCTTTCTCTCTATATATATATAACTCACAAACCAAGAAGATATCTCTATAAGGCTAAAAACCCTCAGGGTTCTGATCCATCGATTTGAGGAAGAGAGTAGGAAAACCCTTGAGCAATATAGAAAAGGTTACCCGATAACGAACAAACTCTCTTTCTCTCTCTCTCACTCTCTTGTATTCAATAACGACTCCAATACTTTAGATACAGCAAAAAAAAAATAAAATAAATAAAACCACATACAAATGAGATTGATTCTCATTTTTCACATTTAGATTTTTCTTTTTGTCAAAATAAAAGAAACATTATTATTT